TCAACCAGGCTTTTAGGTAGGTTTTCAAAGGAAGATGTCAATACTTTAAGTGTACGATCATTATGCCAACCCCAAGGCGTAAACACAGTGAAAGAAGACATTGGAAAACCAAACACGGCACTGCCGCACCTCTACCTAAATGCCTGGTTTCAACTTTTTATGACGCTACTGTTTTATTTCATTTTGTTACATTCCTTTTTATTCCTGATTTTGTGCTAGGTGCATAGTTTATTTAAAAATGTTGATAAGCATGTATAATGGAAATTGGCTTTTTTTATTCCTGTAAAAAGAATTGCAAAACTGAATACAAAAACAAATTTGGGTGAGCAACTAAGAATATTTCGATTTAAACCATTTAGCTTTTCCATCTTGAAATTTTTTAATTTTTGATCTGCGAGGAAAGAGCTGAACAGCATTCAGGCAATCAGCTCGTTGCAGTGAAAAAAGCAGACACCATAGCAACAGCAGAAAGTTTGAGAAGTAAAGCTGGGAGCAGTGGCAGCAGTGCTTGTGAGTCATTGGACTGGAACAGATATACGTTAATTGGAAGTAAATCTGACAGCTCTGAGAGAGAAATGTGGTACATTGCAGAAAGGGGTGGGGGTGGGGAATCAACATCAGCAGAAGACACACCTAACCTGGAATATACTAAGCAGCCAGCTCTCAGATCTGGGGATGCAACTTCAAACATCTTGTTGTCATTATGTATTTACTGTTTCTATTATATCCTCTATTTCTCTCTGCTTTGTACAGTGACTCAGAGAAAGAAGCAAGCGTACACCTATCATTGCATTCACAACTATAACCTAGGAGTTTTATTTTAAAATATCTGTTATGATTTTTGAACCATGAGATTCACAGGCTTGTGATTCTAATCAGGCACAAACAGAAAAGAAGAGGGATGCTTTTAGACAGGATGGGGTAGAAATGGGTGAGAGCTGTTATTGGTAATGGGTGGAATGGGGAGGCTGGAACTGTGAAGGGCATGGATGCTACTGAATGAAAGCAATGCTTTATAGTTTTCAGGTCAGTGAGGTGTTTGAAGCTGACAGCTTCCCCTGCCATCAGAGGGAGTGTGGTAGGAAGTCAGAGGGAAAAATATGGCCAATGGAAAAGGGAGAGGGGCTCATATTGAAGCATGCTGCCAGACAAGCTGAGATAAAAGCACAGAAAATAACATTGTAGAGAAGGTGTGTGAATCTTGTTCATGGTCAAGCTAATACAAATGTTTTCACTTCATTTGTCTGAATAACTTAACTGAAGAGTGTTAGCTAGTTATGATCACTGTTAAAATCCCTTTTGTTCAGAAAGCATTCAGAAATCATTCATAAATTGGCTCACACAAATATATATAT